GCTTAGTTCCAGGTATCGTGAATGACCACTGCCAGAATAATTGAGTGGTTGGGTGTGCCCACCAGATGCCCCCAACTGCCCCCACCCGGGCCTTCATTATTTAGATAGATTAGCTCAGAAGTAGATAATAGTCTATTGATCCATCGTTCAGCTTTGCTTCTCTACCTTTTCTTATGTTGTTAATTTGCAGAATAGAATCTTTCAACAAATCTCGAATGTACAACACATTGATTTGATGAAACAACATTATTCCCTTATATATAAAGCACTTCTTCTCAACACTTTTATTTCTCATATACAGTGTATATAAAGTGGTTATATATACAGTATAGTCCACTGCAGCGACCCCACTTCAGTGGGACTAATAATGCAAAGGAAGAAAAAGAAGAAGTGTCTTCAAAATCATGCGGACAAGAAAAATCACCTGAACAGTTTCTCTTATGGCCATACGGCAAATAAATAAAAATAAAAATATTACTCACAAGGTCATCATCACAAGGTATTGACACAAAGGTATTTTATTTATATAAAATGAAACATCATATGGCATTCATTTACAATTCCAAATCACATTATTGCCTCCCAATTTAGCAATCCAGTAATTAAACATTTTTTATTATTCATTTACATTCAGTACTCAAGTATATCAAAATCCATTTTAATAATCAACTATCAAATTTAGTTCAAACCATCATGTTTTGTGTCATTTATCATATTTGATTTCTTAACTTTACCCTTTGCAGACCCCCAGAAAAAAATGTAATTACAAGTTGTCTAATTAAAGGTTTTCAACCATGTCAATATTCGAGCTGTATATAGACCAAACTTGTTAATAAAAACTTAACTTAACAATATAAAATTTGTTGTTTCCTACAAGAACTCCCCGTCTTCATCACTCCATGCTTCACCATCTGAATCGCTCAGTACTTCCAACTCGGAATATGTTCTGTCACCTTCAACCTCCATGTCCTCTGGGTTGTTATTGACATTTTTAAATAAGCTCTCTGTCGTCGCGACCTTCGAAGCCATTTGGCTCTAATAGGTTGTCCCCAGGAAATTCTGTCAGGCAGTGTCCACAGACGCCTACGAACATACATGTTGCGGTCGCTACCCTTCATCTCGATGGTCTTCCGAGCGAAAGTGGGAGCAAAGCCACATCTTCAACCCCGCTGAATGTTGCCAGTCATTTGTGTGGTGGTGTGTGTGTCACCGTCGTGTGCGTTGCGTGTGCGTCGTGCGTGTCCGTAGCGCAGTGCGCGTGCGCCGTGCCCGCGGTTTGCGCTCCAACTGCGTGTGTTGTGTGTATGCCTGTGTGTGTGCCTTGTGAGCCTGCAGTGTCGTGCTATGCGCGCTGCGTGGCCCTCCACCGTGTGTGTGGTGTCGCGTGATGTATGGGACGCGCGCGGTGTGTATCTCTCTCTCTCTCTCTCTCTCTCTCTCTCTTCTGGGTGGCCGCGTTTCGTGGTCCGCGTGCGGCGGCGTTGTGTAATCTGGTGTGTGTGTGTGTGTGTTTGTGTTGTGTCTGCGCGTGGCTGTCGTCGTGCTGCCGTCGGTTGTGTGCCGGTGTTGTGTGTATCTGTGTGTGTGTGTTGGATGTGTGTTGTGTGCGTGCCGTGCGTCGCGTGCTGCGTGCCGTGCGCGTGCGTGTGTGAGCGTCTGCGCGTGCTGGCCGTGCGTCGTGCGTTCTGTACGAGGTTGTTGGTTAATAGCCATATAGCAAGGAGTATAAAGTCAGTGAAATTACACGTAGCGACGATATTCGGCTGGCAGTTGCTTACACCGACATTGTCAATACACGAAAGCTTACTCGGAGCGTACGGGACATGTTCTATTTATCTGTAGACGATATCACATACTATCTTCGGACTGATTTTAAAGAAGATTTTTCACCCCTTCTTCGATCATTCATCCTCATTAAAACATATTATATAGTCACATGTGAATAAAGTCTTACTGAACTGGCTGGCGGTGAAGTAACAGTGTCCTGGTCGTGTGGCGAGCGGCTCGCTGCCTGCTACTGCTAATTCCCCTCAATTTTCTGCCTAAATCGAGCCCCCTTGACTCTCTTTACAATACTCATATTCTTTACAAAAGGGTCCCACTTAGTCTCTTCAGGCGGCGAGTATAGCCCCCTCAAAATCGTAGCACTGCCAACTGGCCCACCTGCCCCCCTCCTGTCGGCCTGTATATAGACTATTACTACTATATCACCTGTCTACTATCTACTAGACTACAACTCTACCATACTAGATAATATAATGATCATGTCTTACACAATTACAGTCATGCCTGCAGACATTATTTTTAGGTCATCGCTATTATATAAACCGATCTATAACCCACTTATAGACAACACGTAATTTAAATATATACACAATAAAACCGGGGACAAAAATAAGGTAGACCTACTCAATTTCCCAGCTGCTCCTTCGCTATCACTATCATGCACTGCAAACCTATCATATAGAGTAGCGTGACGATAATGTAACAAATCATTGCTCACCGCATTATTTTTTTGCGCCGGACAATCAGAGTGTCTGCATGGCAGCATATATCTATGATGGCAGCAAGAGTGGCAGACTTTTGATGGCAGGCATAGGCCATTCGGGGGCGTCTGGCGGATACACCCACCACTGAATTATTCTGGCAGTGTCCATTCCTGATACCTGGGACCATGCCTGTATCATAGTAGAGCTAGACGCATATAATCAGGAGTTAATAAAGACAAACAGGGATATGTATACACGAAGCGGGTTATGACGCGAAGGAGCGTGTTACAACGCGGGAATAGCTAGCACGCGATCTGCGCCCCTTCTCCTGTTCTCTTCCTCCTCTTACGTCTCCTCATCACCCCCTCCCCATCATCGCCCTATTCTTCCTTCGCTCCTCCTACTTCTCCCCTCCTTATCTTCTTCCTCATCCTCGTCCTCCTGTTGCTCTTCCTCCCCTTTCTCCTCTCTCTTTCTCCAAATCCTTCATCCTCCTCCTACTCCTTCTTCGCATCCTCCTTCTCCGCCTCCTCCTCTTCCTCCTCGTAAACATACTATAGATAGTTGAAGTGAAACCGATTGTGGTCGATCTAGCAGCAGCAGCTTCGGCGATGACGCGTGAGATCTGGACACAGCTTTAATCTAGCGGATAATCACGCGCGCGGTGGAAGAGGCGGGAGGCTGCTGCCGTGGCGCGCCCTCATTGCCACGCGTTATGAGGGTGAGGATGAGGCGAGGAAGATGAAGGCGAGGAGGGGCCCTGCGTCCCCTCGTCGCGGGTCGAGAGGGCGCGTGAGATCGGGACACAGCGTTAATCTGTTCTAGCGACTAACGGTAAACCACGCGCACGATGGAAGGGGCGGGCTGGGTGGGTGGCGCACTTTCATTGCCACGCGTTGTACCCACTGAACTATAACGATATAATTGTATCCCCCGCGACGAAGTCGGCGGACATGTACCCGCCTGGAGAGAGAGAGAGCGTGTAGAGAAGGTAGAGAGAGAGAGGGGGTGGCGATCGTGAGAGCGTGGGCGATTTCCGAGCGCGAAACGCAAGAGCGGTTCTACTGGCGCGGTCAGTTTAACAATGGCCCGTGGCGCCTCCTCCTATAGCGAATAATATCTACATTATACATATTAAACGTATGACTGCGTGTGCGTGCGTGCGTGCGTGTGCGTGTGTGAGTTGCAGTGCTCGCCCCTGCAGCAGGGGCAAAAACTGTGCGGGCGTAAGCGGAATACTGCCGACTAGAGGAGAGATCTCGATATTTAGCTATGAACGTCGTAGCAGGAGGACCAGGGTAAGCTTTCTCTGGCGATGTTGCGTGAAGGGGAAAACGACTGCACCACGGCAGCGCGGGGGCAGAGACTGGGTGTATGTATATACTAAGATGTAGCTGTCACTCTCGGCAGCCTGTTAAAATCCTCCGCGGTAACGAGTGAGATCTCTATCCTGGTGTGAGCGTTGGAGTGGAGGACGCTCCGATCGCTCCCCCGGCGTGACAAAATGTTGAGCGATGAGAAAATCTAAAGAACTCAAAGAATGCGGGCCAATAAAAAAACTCTGGTTTCACTACGAAATGTTTCCACGTGCAACGATTCCGATATCGTGAAGTACACAAGTGTGTTAAGACCTAATGTACCGTCAAAGATGTATCGCTCGAGGGATACACTCAAAAGTGGCTTTTATAGATTGAAAAGTTCGTTTTATAGAGGTGTCGGTTAGTAATGTCGGGTTAGACTGCACTGTAAGTCGTAATATACGCACCATAACATATTATGGTTACTACCCTCATATGATAGTATGATATGCTCAACTATTAGCGCTGAAAGAGGCAATCCTAAACGTATAATTATGATAATGATGACAAAATAATGACAACGACAACAACAACAATAATAATAACTAGAGCACTCGGAGAGCACAGACCTCCACCAAGGCAGACCTGAATTCTCTCAATATGAAAATTTTTTATTAATTAAGTTAAGCTGCGTAAAAATTAATTAATTGAATTAATTAAAATATAATTGATCCGGTATATTAAGTGCGAGCGTGCAGGTGGGGGAGGACGTGGTGCCGCCTTAGCCTGGTGGGTGCTCGTGTTTGTAACGGTCTACATCCAACGTGCACCTAGCCGAAGTGAACTGAACGTGCTGTTAAAAAACCTACAAACACACAAACCAACACTCAAACACACGCCGGTGAAAACATAACCCCTGCCAAGCCCCTGGCGAAGGTAATAATAATAATATATTATCATGTTCATTCACCTTGCATTTGCTTAACAGATCAATCGTGAGTGTATAATAATGATAATGATAATAATAATAATAATAATAATAATAATAATAATAAAAATAAAATATTGGCACGTCCATTCACCTCGCATTTGCTCAACAGATAGTGCTGAAAAAGGCAATCATGAGTGTATAATAATAATAATAATAATAATGATAATAATAATAATAATAATAATATCGTCACGTTCATCCGCTTCGCGTTTTGCTCAACAGATAGCGCTGAAGGCGGGCAACTCGATGGGCGTCGGGCTCGTGGAATTTGCGACAGCAGAGCAGGCTGAGCGCACGCGCGACCGCATGAACGATGAAAGCCTGCGCGGCCACCACCTCCGCATCTCCTACAGCATCCCCGGCATCAGCGCGGCCATGATGTACGGCAAGCTGCTCATGTCAAACGTAAGTACCGCGGATAATAGAGGGCGCTGCGTGCAGCATCGGCGCGGCGACGGTGTACGGCAAGATGCTCGTGTCACACGTAAGTACCGCGGGATAGAGGGCGCTGTCGGGGTGTGGCCACATATAGGTGGCGCAGTCTGCGGCTTGCAGTAAGTTACCCTTCGTCAACGTTAGTACGCACTAGATGGCATATTGCTACAGTAAATTGCTGCTTCTTCCGTTTAGGCAAAAACAAAATATAGGTGTGGTTAATGTTTCCCGACCGACCCTATTTATTCCCAGCGACCCTAAACATTTTATTGTCAATTTTCTTTAAAGTAAAAAATAAAAAAAATAAAAAATATGAATTGGACAGTTCCTGCTTCAAAAGGCACAACGCACATCCTTCAGACATGGTTCGTAAATAAAATGTTTTAATAAAATAAAATGTTTTCCCTACCTACCTACCCTATTTTTTTCCGGCATGAAATGGTAACCACACCTATATTTTGTTTTGGCCTTAGTCTACAGGCTTGCTTCTTCAGAGAGTTGCTTCTTCTACAGGCCAGGGAACCGTTGATTAAAATCAAAATTATTCTTAACGCTAGTCTTTTCGTCTTTTCTAGACTTTAACCGTTAACGGGATTCTGTTTCATAAAGTTATGAGGAAGTTTGTGATGATTTTTTATTTTTACAAATGTTTGTGTTTACAGCTTTCCGATGTTTCCGTCCACGGTCTGCAAGAAAACTGTTAAGGTTGCCTTACTCTCCGACTCCCTGCAGCATACGTGTTACATATGTAATGAATACGCGAGTGATTCTCTTTCTCTCCGCAGACTCACGGAATTCAGCGTGGCTCCCTGCTGCCGGACCCGGTGTTGAAACGCAAGGCCGCGCAACTAGGTGGCGCCGGTAAGCGCGGCGCTTTCCCGTCTCACTCGCGCAACGTCGTTTCTTACTTGTTTAGTGATATTGCGTGTTTGTTTTCAATGTAAACGTCGCGGGGGTTTTTATGAGAAAACAAGGGCTGTTTTTCCACAGGGATTTTTGACTTTGCTTTTTGAAATTACAAAAACACATACGGCCCCGAATAACGTTTGATCGGAAGACTCCTGGCTACACAAAAATTATTCGTGTTAGCAGAAAATAAGGATGTTTTATGATGTAGATTTCAGTTAGAATTATGTTGATACATAACTTGTTTTAATAAATTATTTGCTATTATTATTATTATTATTATTATTTTTATTAATAAATGTAATTCATTGATAAATAGGTATCAAAGTCAAAAATTGCACACTCATCTGTTTTTATGCATTAGAATTTTACTTTTTTAACTGTCATTAGTTTGGTAAAAAAAAAACGTTACACTCTTTCTAGGCAACCAGCCAGTGATGATACCAGGCCTAAAACTCCAGCAGATGGTGTCAGCGAATGGAAAAAAGCCACACCAGCTAGGTCAGCTACGTTCGCTTGTTTTTCAGCTCTCAACGTAATCGCTTTTAAGTAGGTCTCAGAGGAGAGATAGTGAATATATAAATAGGTTGTGGCTATAGAAATCAGTTAACCCTAACCCTAACCCTAACCCTAATTCTAAAATAAAACAAAATTAGCCAAAAATATAAAAAAATAAAATAAATAAGAGACAAAATTAGCCAATCAGAGCTGTCCCCTAGCGGATCACTATCTCTCTCCTGTGCAAAATTCATCGATTTTCCCACGCCGTGATGATTGGGAGGTTTTTTGCCGTGCGTGACGTAAGAATGTTGAAATGCTATTAAGCTGGTGATTGGAGCGGGTGTACGTAATGTGTCAGTTGATTGCTGTAGCCAAGGCAACGTTATGAATGTTTCAGGAGCACCAGGCACGAATCCGAGTGGTATGGAACCGCCCATACTCACACAAATGCCAAATCATTTATTACAGGTGAGTGCTGCCATCGCGTGGTGGTAATACTACTACTACTACTAATAATAATAATAATGAATTCTGTTTCTGCTAAAAGATATGCATGTGGAAATAATAATCCAGTTCTCATTATTGTTTTTGTATACTGACTGTAAATTGGTCATTTTCAAAGGGATTTCTTTCAAATCAATATCTAACTATCAAACAACTAATGCTAGGTCTCTTCCTTTGAGAAAAGTGACAACTTACTTTGATGTAGGGCCTAATAACGTTAATTTATCACACGCTGTTATTTAATGTCATTTTCATATTCAAGATATGAGTGAACACTGTATAAAAATCTATGCTGTGACTTACGTGTGATTTTCTACTATGCACAGAATGTTGTAGCCTTGCAACAAATGCAGTCCCTACTACAGCAGCAACAACAGCATCATCAACAACAGCAGCAGCAACAGCAACAACAACAGTTGCATGCACGGGACAGTGCTAGGCTAAGTCAGCTAAATGCAAAACCACTGCAACCTAGTCAACAGGTAAAAATACAGGCATAGTATCAGCTAGTGATGTCACGATCATCGATTATACTCGATCATCGGTTGAACAGTGGCTCGAACCAAGCGCCTAGTGATGTCACGATCATCGATTATACTCGATCATCGGTTGAACAGTGGCTCGAACCAAGCGCTTGTTATCAAAATCCATAATCAATTTCATCAACAACAACAAAAAAATTTGGTTTTTTTTTTAATTTGAACAATCTTAAGCTTGAGATTGAGAATCAGTACATGTATTATACACACAATAGTAAACAGTGCAAAACAAACAGTAAACAGGGCAAAACAAGCACATGTATACACGCCGTCTCCGTCTCCTGCGGGGGGCAGTTCACGGCCCCGGCGGCGCGACGGCTCGGCCACTCGTATGCCAGCTATGGAGATGATGGTGCCAGGCGGCGGCCGCAGCAGGCCAGGGGCGGGCCGGCGGCACAAGGTCGTGCATGAGCGCGAGCGTTGAAGGCGCATACACACGATGCAGGCAGGGTACACACGATGCAGGCAGGCGCGCCCTGCGGGGCCTGTCGCAGACTGGCCGAGGCCAAACGGACTGCTGCCGAACGGGCAGGTAGGACCAGCGTGAAGGGAGCGATGTGGGGAGGGTGTGAGAGAAGATGGGTGAGGATGAGTGAGAGATGGTGACGAGACGGAGATGGGGGGAGGGTGAGTGAGAGATGAGGGAGGGTGCAGTGAGAGATGGGAGGGTGAGTGAGAGATGGCGGAAGGTGTGCAGAGAGATGGGGGAGGGGCAGTGAGAGATGGGGAGGGGTGTGAGAGAGATGGGGGAGGTGCATTAAGAGATGGGAGGGTGTGAGAGAGATGGTGGAAAGACAGAGATGGGGAGGGTCAGTGAGAGATGGGGAGGTGAGTGAGAGATGGGGGAGGTGAGTGAGAGATGGGGGGGGTGTGAGAGAGCGTGGGGGAGGGTGAGTGAGAGATGGGGGGGTGTGAGAAGATGATGGGGGAGGGTCTTGAGGAGATGGGGGGAGGGATCAGTGAGAGATGGGGGGAGGGTGTGGAGAGATGGGAGGGTGAGTGAGAGATGGGGGAGGGCTGTGAGAGAGAATGGTGTGAGAGACGGAGATGGGGGCGGAGGGTCAGTGAGACGCCCATGGGGAGGGTGAGTGAGAGAATGGGGGAGGGAGTGAAGCAGAATGGGGGAGGGTGAATGAGAGATGGGGAGGGTGTGAGAGAGATGGGGAAGGGTGTGAGAGAGATGGTGAAAGACGGAGATGGGAGGAGGGATGTAGTGAGAGATGAGAGGGAGAGCGAGGGGTGGTGAGAGATGGAGGGGAGTGGAGTGGGAGGTGTGGAGAGATGGGGGAAGGCGTGAGTGAGGATGGGGGGGTGCGTGAGAGAGATGGGGGACGGTGTGAGTAGAAGAATGGGGGAGGGTGTGGAGAGATGGGGGAGGTGTGAGAGAGATGGGAGCGGCAATGGGGGAGGGTGTGAGCAATCGGAGAGGGATGAAGATGGGGAGGATGTGAGAGCGAGATGGGGAGGCGTGAATGAGATGATGGGGAGGGTGTGAGAGAGATGGGGGAGGGTGTCGAGAGAGAATGTCGTGAAAGACGGAGATGGGGGGAGGGTGTGTGAGAGATGGCGAGGGTGAGTGAGAGATGGGGGACGGAGTGTTGAGAGAGATGGGGAGGTGAATGAGAGATGGGGGAGGGTGTGAGAGAGATGCGGGAGGGTGGTGAGAGCAGATGGTGAAAGACGGAGATGGGAGGAGGGTGAGTGAGAGATGAGGAGGCGTGAGTGAGAGATGGGGTGAGGGTGAGTGAAGATGGGGAAAGGGTGTGAGAGAGATGGGGGAGGGGAGTGAGGAGATGGGGAGGGTGGAAGAGATGGGGAAGGGTCAGTGAGAGATGGGGGAGGGTTCGTGAGAGAGATGGGGGAGGGTGAGTGAGAGATGGGGGAGTGTGAGAGAGAGGGGGAGGTGATTGAGGAGATGGGGGGTGGAAGAGATGGTGAAGACAGAGATGGGGAGGGTCAGTGAGAGATGGAGGGTGAGTGAGAGATGGGGAAGGGTGAGTGAAGAGATGGGGTGAGGTGTGAGAGAGATGGGGAGGGTGAGTGAGAGATGGGAGAGGGTGTGAGAGAGATGGGGGAGGATGTGAGAGAGATGGGGGAGGCGTCAAGTGAGAGATTGGGGGGGTGTGAGAGAGATGGGGGGAGGCGTGAGTGAGAATGGGGGAGGGTGAGTGAGAAGATGGTGAGAGACGGAGATGGGGGGGAGGGTGAGTGAGAGATGGGGGAGGGTGAGTGAGAGAATGGGGAGGGTGTGAGAGAGATGGGGGAGGGTGATGAAGATGGGGGAGGGTGTGAGAGAGATGGGGGAGGGTGTGAGAGAGATGGTGAAAGACGGAGATGGGAGGAGGCGTCGGGAGATGAGAGATGTGGAGTGAGAGTTGGGAGTGAGAAGTGTGAGGAGGGTGTGAGAGGCGATGGGGGGATGTAGACAGATGGGGGAGGGTTGTGAGAGAGATGGGGAGGGTGTGAAGAAGAGATGGGGGGAGCGGTCCAGTGAAAGATGGGGGAGGGTGTGAGAGGAGATGGGCAGAGGAATGAGTGAGAGATGGGGGAGGTGTGTGAGAGAGATGTGTTGAGCAGACGGAGATGGGGGGGAGGGCTCAGATGAGATGGGGGGAGGGTGAATGAGAGATGCATGGGGAAGTGGTTGAGAGAGATGGCGGGAAGGTGAATGAGAGATGGGGAGGGTGTGAGAGAGATGGGGAGGGTGAGATGAGAAGGAAGGAGATGGTGAGAGACGGAGAGGGAGGAATGGTCAGTGAGAGATGGGGAGGTGTGAGAGAGATGGGGAGGGTTGAATGAGCAGATGGGGGGATGTGAGAGCAGCGGAGCATGGGAGGAGGCGTCGCTGAGAGATGGGGAGCGGTGTGAGAGATGTATGTTTGAGGTCATGTGGAGAGATGGGGGAGAGTGTGAGAGATGTATGTGAAGGTCATGGAGAGATGGGCGGAGAGTGTGAGAGATGTATGTGAGGTATGTGAGAGATGGTGGAGGGTTGAGAGATTATGTAGGGTCATGTGAGAGATGGTATTGTGAGTCATGTGAGAGAATGGGAGGCGTGTGAAGAGATGTAATGTGAGGTCATGTGGGAAGATTGGGGGAGGGTGTGAAGAGATGTATGGTGAGGTCATGTGAGAGATGTATGTGAAGTCATGTGAGAGATGTATGTGAGGTCATGCTGAGAGGATGAGGGTAGTGTGTGGACGTGTGTGTGAGTGGTGAGAGACATGGTGGAAAGGTGTTGTGAGTGGATTTTGATTTATTCTGTGGATAGTTATATTGGCCCCTTCATGAAAGCGTAACTGCAATGTGTGATATAATTTAGTCCTCTCTTCGACAGCTTAGATAGCTTTAGCAGAAAATATTGTTAGTGCCTCAGATACTGAATTCATATAAACATAGTAGTCAGTTAACTTTTGTGTTTGAAAGAATTTGTTCAGAATGTATCAGATGGTATAGGAGCAAATTGTATTGCATCACTGAGGATATGCTTCTACCATGATTTTACGGTTCTTTATTTTTCAGCCGAGTTCTCATATGACCTCCTAAGATCGCATATTCTATGCCAGAAAGTAAGGTGGGGTAACGTTAGAGGGTGTTAAGGTTTCTAGTAGGTTTGTTATGGTGTGAACTATTTGATTCGGGGAATTGTCCTGATTTTTTAATTACTAGGGCTGATGATGCAGGCTTTGTGTTCAACTTAGCTGTTAAGTGCTGTTTAATTTCACGAACATTCTCTGCTCTCTCTTCTCTCTCTCTCTCTCTCTCTCCCTCGCCTCCTCCCTCCTCCC